CAATTTTAAAAATAATGTTGATAAGCCAAGGTCAATAAATAAATTAATTATCCCATGGCAATAATGATTTCTTAATAGCAACTTCTTTCGATTGCATAATCATCGAATTGTCACATAAATCTATACACATACATACATACATACACATACATGTGCGCACATGTGCGTATATACAACCGAGCAGTAGAATATAAATTTTGCGACACTAGGCTACGTTTGGATATACCAGTCGACTTCACCGTTGCTGTGTGGAAAAGAGGACAGATCTATATCCGCGCGAAACGCGACCGAAATTGCAGTCGTAATTGCGTAATAATCCCTCTCGTGGTCGTATCACGGCTGGAAGAAAAGCCACGGATAATAAGTAATAACGTGTATGCTTTGTGGGTTAACTGCTCCTTTCCACTGAACGATCCTTTGGCCGGTTTGCTTATGAGTGCGCGGTGGTCATTATTATAATTATCAAACCTGCGTTGATATATATATATCCCATTACCTATTATTCTGACGCGGGGCCCTTACTCCATTACGCTCAGACGGCTTATGTCTTCGAGCTCTACCTCTCGCTCTCCAGTTTTACGATGGTTTACCGTGAGATGCGTGCGAAGTTATTGCCACCGATTTTAGTGTACCTACGTACGCTTATGACTACATCGGCTCCCGAAGGCGCAAACCTCTGGCAGGCTGTGTTAAAACCTCGAGGGAGGATCGAGTTTTCTGTCGGTGGCCTCGCTCTCGTTTCTTTTTTCGCGGGATCCGGACGATTAAGTTCGGATTTTCATGGTGGCGTCCTACAGCCGTGCTTCTTTATGTGGTATCGCTTAACTAGATACCATGGAATTCCTTTGCATATATTAGGATTTCAGTCGCGAGATACAGTGGCGTAGAATCAGAGAAAAGTATAAACTTAATGAGACGAAAGAATTAAAAGAAACATTTATGTTGCCCGGTTTACACGTTCTGGTGGATCTATAATATCACGTGTAGAACACTTTGTTAAAGTTAACACTTCAATAAAATTTGAGTCAATAAGTATATTATTTCACAATATGTTATTAAATTCATATATGTATAAAAATATATATATATATGAAAATATTATACATTACAAGTGTCACACACACCTTTCTAATAATTTCAAAATACTAAAGCAAACTAAAGATTCCTTTTAATTACACCTAGTTTCGAAAGAAAAAAATAAAAATAAAGACGTTTCTTTATATTAAAATTTTTCTAGTATAAATTTGCCATTGGTTAACCATTTAATAATTTTTAATTAATTTAATGTTAAAAAGAGACAGTACAGAATCCATCAAGCTATTTATAATCAAAATCCTCTCTGAAATGTTGATCAATTTTCTTACTTTCTTTTATAAGATATCGTAAAGGAATGTAACAGGTTCTGGGAGGCACGATTGAATATATTGATACTAGGATATTAGAGGCAAATAGCAACCCGATGAGTAAGATGAATGTCATTGGTCTCTAAATTCCCTTAGCATTATTTCGATCCTAAAAATGATTAAAAGTCACAAAAGATTTTTATCTAAAAAAAAAAAAAATGAGAAATGAGAACGAGGCAACTTTAAAGAAGTTTAATTATTTCATCTATAACATTATAATTAAATAAACTGCAGTTTAATACATAAGAATGGTAAACAAGATATTAATTGACTATGATTGAAACGCTTAGCTTCTTCACCTAAATTACTCCTCACAAACATCGTTTATACTGATTTAATGTGTATACGCTATATACATGTATTATATGTGTAACAATGGGAGTCTATAAACGAATGTTTTGGATTGTGCTGTACAGATGGCAGCACCTAACAAGGTATTCTATATGAAGGTCAATATTCAGTTTAAAGCTATGGAACTCGTCCGCGTTTTCGTAGAATAGAGCTTGATCAATATATGTTTGGAAATTTTTCTATATTTTTGATTCACATTACTCTTCCAATCTTTAATTAAATTATTATCTTAAATTTATTATCAAGTTTCTTATTATATAATAAATCTAGCAATAGAATATTCAAACTAACTCTATTTTTAAAAAGCTTGTCTCTTCTCGTATTTCTAAATTTCTTATTTGTTATGTGTTATTTATACACATATGCAATCTCATATTATTCCGTATTAAATGTTACATAATATTTCTTAACATCTATGCAAATCTATTGATAATGCTCGCACCTAAAAATCTGAATCACTGTTCTTTAAATGTTCACAGATTCGTCTTTGGCGTACGCGACCCGTTTCCCTCGATTTATGAACGAACTACTCGTCGAATTAATAATTTTCGCCACCGCGGGGTTTCTGTAGCAAGCTCACGAGGTCGTAACCTTACCTGCACACTAGACAAAGAGTAAGCTGAAGAGACGCCCGCGGGCGCGAATGAGAGACGGAGAAAGAAGAAAAGTGAGACGAAACCGCAGGGGCAGCTCGCAATACGTTCGTACCCCTTCTATCTGTCTCTCTTTCACGTAACAGAGCGTTGCCCAATAAAAACGTCACGAATTCAGGGGCGAAGAGTTTCTGAGTGAACACCGTCTGGTGGCGCCAGGTTACACCACGTTCCCGATCCACGGGGACTACGGGGAGTTGCGTAAAGCTCACTCGCTGTCACACGCAAAGAGTCAGCGAGTGGTGGGGAGACTATGGAGCGAGACGATATCGCGCACACACAGAGACGCGGCGAAATCAAATCGGCGCTAGCGCGCTTCGCAGGAAGGGCGAGAAAGCGGTAGGACTAAGCGTCGCGAAAAACAGAGAGGATATCATGAGAAGATAGTCAAAGGGAAAGGGATAGAGACAAAGAAAGGGAAAGAGAAACATACGAGAGAAAGAGGGAGAAAGAGAGGAGAGAAAGAGAGATGAATAGAGACCCCGCAGGGTGGATGAAGAAAGCGTAAAAAATAAACGGAGTAAGTGAGAAGGTAACAGAGAGAAGGTGACAGAGAAGGGTTGATCGATTCAGATAAGAATGAAAAAGATGGAACAATCCCGAGAGAAGCAGAAGGTGACGGAGGAAACAGAGACAATGAACATGAAAGGGAGACAGATGCAGAGAAAGCGAGAAATGAATAGGGTACGCGTGAAAGAGAAAGAGAAGTTGCTCCGGAGCGATGGAAAGGACAAAGAGCGAAAGCTTGGCAAGAGGGAGGAAGGTAGAGCTAGAAAGGGGAAGAGAGAGAGAAGCGAGAGGGGTTGGTCGACCCTGCGCGTTATCAAGAGCCGCCCCTCCCGGTTGCCCCTATATCCACCCCGACTTTATATACCCCCCCGTGCATCCAAAGAGTACATGCATTCGTGTGTGCGGTGGTGAAAACCCACACAACATTGACGTGGCTCGTCCCTAGACGTAGCCGGGCGCAGAGCGACGCCGCATGGCGTCGGCGTCGCGAGGTCGTCCCGGCGCTAACTCTCTAACGATGGCATCGTCGGCCAACCGCCGCCAGAGGAAGCCGCTTCTTCGTGGCTCGTAACACGTACCTGGACGACCGGGACGCCTGGACGGATCGGAGCACCCGAAGGACCGGGCACGAAGAGACGGAGAGACCCGATACCCGCGAGTGACGTGCAACGCCGAAGCGCCGCGACGCCGACAGTCGTCCGCGAGACGCGTCACGGTCGTCTCACGGGAGACCGGGGGACGTTTGTACCATCTGCATCATCCACCAGTTGGCGTCTGACGTATGAACGACACACGTCTCTCTAATCATCCCGTCTCTTATCTTCCAGCCTCGACTTTTTTCATTTTTTTTTTTATTTCCCGACTGTGCGCATTCTTTCCCATTCTATCCGTTCCTCGTTCTCTACGCCTCCCCCATTTTCGTCTCGTCTCGACTCGCCCATTCTCAAGTCCATCTCTCTTTCTCCTCGATTGCGTCGAGCGCTCTGTCCTTCGCATCGAGTCACGACTCAGCGAATCGGCGAACGAAACGGAGACGGAGCGCATCCACCGTGAACGTCACTCGTAGCATGTAGACCGAACGGAGCTGTCATTCGTACGTCGCGAAGACGGGATCGGAGTGCCTTCTGTGATTGATAATCCTTGAACGTCCCTTCGGACTCCTCAGTGTGCGGTGCTTGACATAATATATCAGAAAAGGATTCTCTACGTCAGATTTCACGTATCGGTTGATTTCAGTTGGCGATGCTCGAACAGGGGATCTACGTGATGACGATATCTTAAAAATTAACCTGACCGGATAGATAGATAGGGAGATTCAGAGAAAGGACGGAGAAACGTAATGAATAATAACACCAGGTCAGTATACTTTCGAATTTCATGTTCCGTAATTTAAAAATATTTCCAGATGTATCATGACGATCGTGCATAAATGTATGCTAACGATGCATGCTTATCGAGTAGACGAATATTGATCGATTGTTACGCGAGCTGCCTTACATTTCGGTGGAAGATTTCCGCAATAGCCCGAACAGCAGGCAACCAGTCTGACACCTCGGCACGCTGGGCTTCCAAACTCCACGGGCTTTCGAGAATGGTTTCGTCACGGGTCGTAAGATGATGTGATTGTTTTATGACCGAGTCGTCATCGTTCTCTTCTTTTTTTTTTCTTTTTGCGTGGGATCCTTTCCAGAAAACGTTAAATAAATTTTCGATCTATCGTTCCCGCGGAACTCTGAGACAAAACTCTAGAATATTCGATCTTGCCATCCAATACCCCTTAATAACTCGAGTGTTATTTATATGTATCCGTAGGCGAAAATTCGAGACGGGGCCACGAAAAACAAAAAGCGTGTGGACTTCTACCATCGAGCAATTATTTCAAGACAATTATTTCAACAAGACCACTTGCGTCCTGCGACGAGTCGACAATATTTAATAAGCGTCTTGTCTCATTACCTAACTTGAATCAAGCCTTGTCCGTAATCGGGGAAATGTTTACGGTGAGAAAAATGCGTGATCACGGATATTGTTACATTTTTTTTTTCATGTAACTTAATTAAAAACTAACCAAAGATTATTTTACCTGGATTAGAAATGGAAGATATTAATGATCGAAGTCGTCCGTCGCTTCATGCCAGCGATTCCAGAAGATATAATGTTAGTCTACGCGATGCCAGACTGCCGCCGATCTTATCAGACTCTTCATCCTTGCCAGGGGGCAGCCACCGACGAGGCGTTATCCGATGAGGAATGTGAAACCCCCTGTACGTATACTGAATGTATCCTGAGTGTATTCCTGTCCGGTATACCTTCAGTATACGTAACAGGAGGCTACACCGAACAACGTTGGATTTCTTCATTGGCGCAGTTCTTCAATTATCAATAATCTTCGTGCTATAAAACATAGAACCTTAAGAAGATAGAGAGAATAATAAAAATAGGAGAGCACTTAGAATAATAAGATATTTCATTTACCTAAAATGTCGTAAATTATACCTTGAATCTAATTAATTGTTTATTTTTAATATTCTCAATGTAAATTTTGCTACAGATATATGTTTATATGTTAATAAATTTTACTATAGACATGTTTGTATGTTAATAAATTTTAATATAGATATATTTATATGTTAACGTCAATTTATTAATTGTATAAACTGTATCAATAAAAGAATTATGCATACATTTATATAGTTATAATATTAACATATTTAGCATATTAATGTACTAATTTTTTTAATCTTTATATTAAATTAATTAATTTTTATATTAAATCATCATATATCTGTAATATATAAGCGTGATGTATGTGAATCCTCTTAAGACGAAAAAATTTCAATTATTTTTCAATAAAATAAATAACATGTTTTCTTGAAAACAAATTTATACTGTATAGATTTTACTAATAATTTAACTAATTTGTAAAATAGCATTTGTTTTATACCACATTTACATACAAAAGTTAAATTTTCTTTTATACAACAAGTGCTAATATTTTTATCCCATATTTTTATCCCTCTGCAACAATATTATATATTTAATAAAATTAAAATAATTATGTGCGTTAAAAATCGTACTTTATAAATGAACAACGTAATATCTCAAATAAAGCAGTAATGAATTTACTGATATATTTTTTTTAAGTACCTTATTCATAAATTAAATGTACATCTAAGTATATTGCGTACACGATAATTAAATATATCTTTAGAAATCACAATGAGGAATCATAATGAGTAAATATATGTACATTATATACATAATAATGTATCTTTGAAAAATCACAATCGCAATATGTATACCTTCCATAAATAGGAAAAAAGAAAGATGCATGTAAATTATACATATATAATTTATAAAAAAATTAAAGAATTAACATTTACAAAGAAATATTAAGTAAATATTATCAACTGCTTTTACAAATACTTAAAATGTATATTTCTAAACGGATTTCCACTTTAATTTAAATTAAATAATGTTTTGAAATATTATTTTATTGCGCTCTACTATAATATTTGCTTAAAATGTAAAATCTATCTTAAATGAAATACAATTAGATTTTCAATATTAATTAGAATTAAAATAATCAATGTTAGATGCTTTTTATAATTAGATCTGAGAAAAACTATAGAAATATCTTATTAATTTAAATAAGAATTCAAAAAACCTCAAAATACATGCAATTCTACGTAATCTTTGTTGTAAATTGAAATATATTTTTTGCTTGATTAATAATTCTGATTCTCTTAAATAATAGCTAAATAAAAAGAATTATTAAAAATTTTTAATAATTATTTTTGTTTACACTTAATAAATTTTGTTCTGTTCCTATTTTAGATATAATTTTATAATAATTAATAATATTCTGTAATATTAAATAATTTATATACAAAGAAAACAGATACATATTATTTATTCATCTGAAAAGTTCAGAACATTTTATGCTTTAAAAGGCATAAAATTAACTTTGTCACAAGCGTACAAAATTTACTAATAAATCATCGAGATAAATAAGAAATATATTGTTCCATTCAAGGATTCAACGATGACACTTTTAGACTTTTTCTTCGAATTTTATTGTACGAGATTATATTTGACAGACTTTCCCTTTTTTTAGAGCGATCATAAAAAGGGTTAAAAGGAAAAGAATTTAGAGCGGTATTTCCGCCGGTTGAAGTGTTTGCAATTGGTAAAAGGGTTAGGGAAAGCAACCAAACGCAATAAAGTAGAAGGAATTAGAAAGCTAGGAAAAGGTTGTCTAACAAACTGTGAAGTCGAAATTTCACCTTTTTAGAGAACAGGTCAAAATCAGTTCAGTTTATATCAGTTAACGAACGAGTGCACATATCTGCAAGCATAAGGACTTTCAAAGCAAGATGCTGTTGGCGAAGATTCATAGCAGAAGATAAGTTAATCATTTTATTGCATTTATTTAAACTTATAAATCCCTTTGTTGATAATTGATTTCTCAAATTAAAAAATCATTTTAATCTTCATTCTTTTATTGCAAAACATTTTTAAAAATTTTTCTGAATAAATTATTCAATGTAATTAATAGTAATAGGAGAGAATACAGAAAATATACAGATGTTTTAAGAAATAACTCAAATAGCACTTGTGTCCAAAATCGAGACATAAGATGTCTTGAAGACATTATTAAGATGTCTTACGTCTCAATTTTATACAACACATGTGTGCCGTATGTATGAGAATCTTTTCAATTCCAAAATATGTTTCATGTAAAATTATTCATGCAATATTAATATTTTCTGTATATTTCAATAATTAAGATTAAGAAAGATTAATTTAACTTTTGCTTTGTCGAAAATATTAATCTAATAGATATTTATATAGGAATTAAATATGTTCATTTAAACACATTATATATGTTTCATAAAGTATAGTTCTTAATATTCCAGTATTTTCTATTTTCTTTTAAGACAAATAATTCCTTACTAAAATGCGTATAACGGAAATAATCTAAAATTTTCTATTTATAATAACATTATCTTAAAACAAATTAAATAAAATCTTTATTATGTCAAAATGATTACCGATATTATCGGGAAATTTTGATTGCAAGAAATGTGAAATAATCTTCAAGTCTATTCCATAAAATAACGAAATAAAAACTGCTGTTTATTCAAATAATCATTACGAGACCAAATCGCGCAAAATCTCTAAAAAATGCGAAATATGCAAATGGACGAGAAAAATAACTCAAACTTCCTCTTCGTACGAATGAAGTATTGTGCCATCATCCGCAAATGCGACGCTTTTCCATCGCAGACGTAGCGATATCTAGAACATCGAACTGGCGAAATAAATTCCACGTGGCCCCACAGCAAGGAACGCAAAGGGTCGCATAGCCGGAGGATGACTCTGAACATGTCCGACAAACATGAGGAATAATAAAAAATAAACCTAACTTTACTCATGGCGGAAAGACCGACGGTGCAAGATAGACGGAATCCGCGGGACGCAGGAGAAGAAGAGCGAAAGGTAAGGACAGGAAACAAAATTCAGAAGGAGACGGAAGACGGGGAAAAGGACGTCAGTTTAGAGCGAGGAAAACAGAGGAGGATAGAGAGATGCGCCATTGGGAGTGTCGGATAAAGAGAGCATCAAGGGAAGGAGATGGAATGAGAGACACCGGCGTTGGAGTAAGACGGAAATGGAGATGCTCTCGCTCTCTCTCCCTCTTCTCGCGGCCAATGAGTCGCCGTCGTTTTGATGGCCCAACCCTCGGAGCAACATGGCCGCCAAGTGCAAAAGGGAGCTTAAGTAAGGGTTAGGTTGGGCTAGGTTCGTCCTTTCTGGACCCGTTGCTTTTGTGAGAGAGCTGCGCGCGGCATGGAGTGGGGTGGAACGTTGTCAGCCATCATGGGATAGGAAATGCAACGCTCCGTATCTCCATGGTTCTGGCAACTTTTGAAATAATGGAAACGTAATCCGCGACTTCTGCGTCTAAATAGTCGAGATGGTCGTCGCTATTCGCCGGTATTCGCAACGGGTATCGTTTTAATTGCGTCGTGTTCGGGCGGAGAATTTCCAATATCAACAGCAAGTGCAACGTGAATTAAATTAATTCCGAAGGAGTTATCATATCTATAGATCCTTGCAATATATTTTATTGCAAATTACAGAAATACAGATCGCTATCATAAAATTCATCAGACAACTTTCTGTCACGATTCTGCTGCGAGTGAAAAACGGGATTAGTTTATCGCGGATTTTATTTTGAAGAAAACAGAGCGATTTGCCGGAGCTCGATCCAGTTGAATCGTACGGAGAAAAAGGCAAACCGGTTGCTGACTTCACTGGTTGCTACCAAAAGCGGGTCCGCTAATTTAACATTTTTCACATCACTTGAATATATTGAATGATCAATACCTAACTGGCTTCTAATCCGTAAGTTTCTGTGTGTGTCAATATTAACGCAGCATTAGATACCGTATAGATAATTACGAGATATTTTACGAAAATGCAAGATAACGTAATACGTTAAGAATCAATCGACTACATGTTTATCGTCTACTTTAATTAAAAAACACGGAATATACGCTATCACTTCGGTTCTCAAGGAGACGTTTGCATGTATTCTTCTGAAATAATTTAAAATATCTGAATTTATAAATATTCAAGCATATATTAACGGATTAAAATAGCAGTTTAAGTTAATGTATTTGATTCTTTAGATAAAGTTTTATGATGTTTAATGCATTTTATTGCATCAATATGTTACATTTACAATTAGATTATCGAAAATGTCATATTATTTAAACTATTTCTAATGTATATACTTACACTAATTTCAATGTTATTATACGAATAGAATTTTGAAAGCATTGGACATCAGATTCGTTAATATTTATATTTTTAAAATTTTTTAAAATATATAACATATTTGAAAAATTTAATTACAAGATTATAAAATGCATTAAATACCATAAAAATTTGATTTCAAAAAAATCTTTCTCTATATTTAATGATTTTAATGATATTTTTAAAAAATAACACATTTAACTTTGATCGACAGCAACTAGCATTTTAGTCTTCTAGTGAATTAGAAAACTAATAGCCAAAAAATATAAATTTATATTTTTTTTCTGCTAATTTTCTTTAAAAAATTTATAGAATTATATCTTTCTTAACTGCCATTTTCTAGTTCGCTAGAAGACTATCACGTTAGTCGTATCGTGTAAATCAGCCTTAACAAATCATTTAAAAAACGCATCTTTTGAATTATTCCACAATATATTTAAAGTTTATCAAAATCGCAGGTGAACACTTGTAAATGTTTCCTCGTTAGGTCGTAAAATCGAAAACGATGAACGTATGACAATTATACAAAATGAGATACGTGGCGACATGCACATCGTGTGGGCAGTAAAGCGTCTTAAAATGCCTTAAAACATCGTGTCTCGTGCAGTGGAATTGCAAAAGTTCATGAGTGGAGAAGCGCGAAGGCTATGGCTTAACGGCATCAATTAATTCGATATAAAATAGAGGCGCAATTTTCTTGCCCGTCGTCTTACGATATTAAACCTTGAATTCTGGTTAGCGAATGCTGGTTGCACTTAATTAATTTCTTGCCCGTCTCAGGTATGGTTGACTTACGGCGAATATGTCATTAATCTCCGCAAATATATACATGTTTGCGCATGCACCAAAAACCTGAGATCATTCGTTAAATTTTCATGGAAATCTTATATTGCATAATATAAAATTTACATAATAAACATTTTGATAAATATTTTTTGTCAACAGATTAGCTGTATAATGATGCATAAAATATTAAATTCGATTTAATGTTTTATATTAGAGCATGGGAAACGCAGTCCGATCAAATCGCGCTTTGAAGGGTACATTTTTTTATGAGATTGAACAAAATCGTCTTAATATCATCGTGCCCGCGAATTCGCATTACAAGCTCTTGCCCATTAATGTATGCGTATGTATGATCCTATCGATATACGCGCCAGGGCGTCGTGATGGGAATTTCTTTTTTGTCTGAAAAGCAGAAGGCGAGGAAGATACGCAGAGCGCAAAAGAGAAAGGAGATAAGAAGAGTGTCGGCTGGAATACGAATGGCCATCGACGGTATCGGTTACTATAAATTGCGGAGAAAATCGTACCTATCCGCCGTAAAGGGTGAAGTAAAATAACGAATTAACGGCGCAGGGTGTGTCGCGGGTGTGCAAAGTGCCGCGTTCCTGGTGTGTGCGTTTCCGAAACTGCAAACATCGCGGCCGCCGCCACCGACGCGAGATCTGGCTGTCCGAACGTGAATGTGAATTTATAATGGCGTTGTACCTCTTAGAAAAGTTATAAATTACGTCTCTCGCGACTAATAGAATGATGCCGAAGGAATAACGGGGGTGAAATGCGAAAGAGGGTGAGTTTGTGAAAATGCATGCACGTAAGGAAAGGAAAGTTTGCATTGTCTTTAAATTAAGGATGAAACATGCGGAGAATAATATATATTAAGGATAAAACCTAATTTCAAGTCTTATAATTTGAAGGAAAATTTCATCAATCATGAACACGTCGGTTTACATCAATCAAAAAGTTTTGCAAACATTTGATTAATTGAAATCAGATTTAATAACAAAATAATTTGATATTTTTAATGTAAAATATAATATCTGAATGTCAAATTTAATTTAAATGGCTCAATTCACCTGACTGAATATAATTAATATTTTTAGTCGCAGTAAATATGGTAGTATTAAAGAGCAAAAATGTATTATATTGACTTTGTAGAAAAAATCTTTTAATTTTGAGCAATAGTCTGTATCATTTTACTTGAATATTTCGATAAAATAGAGGTAACATAACACTCTAAATATAATTTTAAAATCTCCTCTCTATAATCTACGTACAAATTGAGTTTATCTTCTCTTTACTCTCGACTGCTGCCAATCTTCAGTTATTCATCATACGATTTATACTAGTTTCAAGATTTATTGGCACTAATTAAGTATAATTTTAAGTTCTATAATGTTTTACGATATTCGAGTTTGACACGCATCGCTCGAAGATAAAATTTATTAGCAGTACTCTTTGACCGACAAAAATGAGCAACGAGACTCGTAATATTATTTTCCATCAATATGTGCCCTGATACGATGAACAACAAGAACTCCTTAAAGGCAATGCATAATCGCAACGTCTATATTTTACGTTTTCCTATGGTTACAGTCAGCGTAAAGTACAGCTAAGAGGATACTCGCAATTAAAGCTATAATAAAACACGTGCGGCTTCGCGTTCAGCGGTTCTTCATCATCGCCGTTCTAGAAAGTCTCGGCAACGCCGAGAAAATTGCTAGGATACTTGGCCGCTGGCCGTTACGGTCTCTTGCGGATGCAAGCCACTTCTTTGATACATTGTCATTTTTATCTCAATATAATCGTCTCCGTGAATCATTTACAGCGCGCTGCCCGTTGCGCCATTTTATATGCATGCCAGTTCAAATTACTCGGCTGTAAAAACTACTTTTTTCAAATTCAAATTACGTTCGCGTGAAATAAGACGAGCGTAACGCCGCTCAAAGAACGTCCGCTACCTCGAATTATGATGAATTTCTCGTAACCTATTTCTCTACCGTACCGTTGTTTTCCTAATCACGTTACCGGAAAATCCGCGCAATTACGTACAATCATCTCATGCACATTGTGTATCTGCAACGTTCTAAACTTACCGGTATTCGGACGATCTTGACGGCTTAGCATGCCAGTAATCTGTAATTAGAAACAAGACAAGAATAATAATTAATTAAAATTTTCTATCTTCTGGTAACGATGCGCGGGGTATAAAATGCTTAAAGTATGTATATAAGTAATACACCTGTTTTTGTAGCATGTGTATTTTTCAACTGCACGGATTAATCTATGAAATATCTCATATTGGAGCACACGCAGGGGGTAAAAAGATAGCCTGGGCTGGTGAAAGCAGCCTCACAGATCACTGATGTGGCGCTTGACTTTTCGCTAAAAAAAAGGGTTAGGAGAAAGTTCCTTATTTACTGCGCTGTAAAAACGCCAGTGAAAGGGTTCTTTTTTTTCGGGGCCAGGTCTTTCTATCAGACCTTTTACCATCGCCGTCGGCGTACCGCGATTTCTCCGACAGTGATGCGCGATAATCTCCTCGTGAGCAACTAAACTTGAACTTTCACGGCGTGAAAGATGCATTAGCAATTATTTTATCAAACAGTGAAATATAGTTAAGTGACAAAAAAGGATATCTTGTGACATAAAATTTTTTCGCGAAGAAACTTTTCCGATGTTACATACCAAGAATTCGTCTTTGCTCGGTAAAATTGCTAATTGGTCGTTGTCGTTACATTCGCCGCTGTAAATACTGAAGTAGTTCGGCGATGACACGCGTGCGGTGTACAATAGAAGGTTCAATTAAGAGATTGTGTGTCAATGGAAGACAACTGCGTGAAGGCTGGAGACATTTAAGTGTAATCATCTGTATCACTTTATCGCTATTATACATCTCGGTTCGTATTTGTACTTTACGGGCGGAACCCTCAATCGCGATTTTACTATCATGAACTGAACCTTTCTCGCGCGAATGATTTATATGTTCGTCGATGTGTTCACCTCGCTGCACTTCCGATTAGTGTACAACACAATCGGTAAATTGTTACAAAGTATTTAAATAAACCACAATCAATTAAATGTAAATTGTCTTACTTATAAATGTAAAACTCGAAGATATTATCAGAAAGTCGATACTAGATTTGCTATTATTCAAAGACATTGCAAAATTTTTGCCTTTTCTCTTTTAAAATATTGAAATCACTAATTTCAATATTCCAAACGCGAAATTAATTCGCACATTAATTTGTAATCGCATTAAACGTGTGGTTAAATTATACGTTTCAGATAAATATTTACACTTTTTTGCGTCTATTTTCTTGTTTTTTTTCTGCAGCAGAATGTCGGGATTGATGATTACAAGTCGATACGATTCGTATATTAATAGTTTACTATAATAAAGTGCTGCAATTAGTGCGGTTATAAACGTCGGAATTGACGACGTTATTGTAATTTTACGGGGCGTTAACTTACAATGCACAATCTCTCTCTTTTCATATTTGTCTATAAAATGTTTCGTCAAGCCTCATAATAATCATTCTTCTTTTTGCATCAACCTTTTTTATGACTGTGATAGTTAAACTACCTTAATATCCATATAAAACGCATTTAAGCTATTAATGGAGCAAAACTTCCTATCTAGCTTCATAAATATTACATAAGAAAATATTTCTTGTTGTCAAAACCAACGTCATCTGCAGTAAAATGTTTTAATCGCTATGTAATTAAATGTGTGATCACTAAGTAAGAATATTAATAGTGTGATCACTAAAAGTAAGAATATTAATCGTATCAATTATGCTCTATTTAGTAATATCGTTTATAATATGTAAATGAAAGTATACACAATAAGTACATTTTTTATAAAGAAAATACTGTCTCGCAATTTATTAGCATTTTAACTTTAATGACTGATTTCTGACAAAGTTAGATTTCTCTTTAAAAATATCAAACTACAATTTCTCTAAGTTATACATGACTGAACAAAAATGCTTTTTATAAATTACTTTGTAAGAAGCAATAGTTTAACAAACAGAAATTGTAAAACAGAAAGAATTTTAAATTAATTTAAGTAGAATATATTACAATTTATCAACACGTAAAAATTACAATTGTATGTACACTGCATGAAAATAAGTTTTGCAAAAATCATCGTGAACGAGTTATTCCATTATTCATTAAATTATGTTAGCATATGTAACATAGTAATATAGCTTTTAGAGAATATATCAGTTATTTTTTTGTTATTTTTTCCAATTTTTTCTTACAATTATTATTTGTAAACATAAATTTTATCAATTATTTCTTCATTAATCTTGTCCAAGAAACGCAAAAATTATCATTAAAATTTATAATTCTATTATATGTGTTATATGTTCTATTATATAAATATATGTTATTCTATTAAGTTTTTTTAATGACTTGTTTTTCTAGTGTTATCAGGTAATTTTAATAAAATACGTTAAACATTAGCGACTCGTGAGATAAGAAGACGTCAGATGCGTATCTCTATGAAACATAATATGTGGCGAGCGTAATAACAGCGTGTAACTTCGGCAATAGAGCACAATAAACGACAATTTCCTAGACCTAGATAACCTGCGACACAGGAGAGGGACGGGGAGAGGGAGAGGGCGAAGAGAGCCCGCTGCGGATTTATCACCGCGTCTCGCGCATTGTTTACGTCTCAGACGGGATATAAATTCTCATTCTAAAGCGCCACAAACTGTCTGCACCTAACAGTTTGCTCATCCCTGTATCGTGCGCTTCTGTTCTCTCTCCAGAGGACGACCACATATACCCGTGTTCTTTACAAGATACATTTAAATGAAAAAGGGATACCGTGTGATTTTTAACTAAAGATCCACACGTTACACCTGCTGCGACATAAATTGTGCATGTTTTTTTTGAGCGCTTAGTGCATTAGAAAATCGGTGTTTATAAATTAATGACGGCACAGTAAAGCCTTAACTTTATGACTTATTGTGAGTGTTTAATGGCTACGTAGATTCGAAATTTGAAATTTTTTTCATAAACAGCGAATTGCCACTAATTAGAAGTACTCTAACAATAAAATTCGATAAAATTCATTTTTTTACATTTCAAATTTATTACGGACAGATATTCTTCAGTACTCTTTCTATAATATATAATATAGATTTCAGATTTAGCTTATTGCACGTAAATAATAAAAATTTTGCTAACTGTTTATGAAATGCACAAAACTACTACTATACAATATTACTGTCAAATAGAACACTAAATTACTTTTAAACAAGAAGTGAAAGTATTTAGTGAATGTTCATCGTACATATATGTCGTTTACGAGCCCAAGTTATTTGAACTCAGCAACATAATACCGCGGAAACGCAATTTATTGGCAGAAATAGGGAGAAACCTTTGTAAAAAAATTGAGCACATAGAAGACGGGGAAATTACTTGTCCCGTAAATTTCCGGAGAGTGGCCGCACAACCACGCAGCAAAAAACTTTGGCCAGACCGAGCGTCTTAATCGAGAATCAATATAGCCTATTCGTTCGTTTTCTTCGAGAAGCTCTGAATTTTTTATAAAGGGGCTTTGTGTGCGAACGTCGTTTCTCGACGGGAGATTTTTGCTCCGTCAACGTTTACGTTCCAGACACGAATGCTGCACGCACAAGAAATACGAATTGAGATCGGATAATTGCGGCACTTGTGCGGTTGAAGTGCTTTCTATTTCGGTAACGGAACACCGGTGACGAGATTTACGTGAATTTAGTATAGAAACTCTGCACACGAAATCCCGATGGCCCGAGGTTTGAAAGGAGAAGTGAACGTTCGGTGCATCAACCGTTCTTACTGTTAAATTATTAATATATCGCGAGGTTTAATGAGCCATGTATATGCGACGCGTCTGTACGTAAAGTTGGAAGGTACCCTATGCAATTATTACAATCCTTTTGGTTTTACTAAAAAGATGCTAATGAGATCTTGCAGGAAGAATCGCGAAGAATGGATAATGTACAGCGGAGATATGCAGTACGCGGAGATATGTACGATAGCCTGAAATGTCCTCTCGGAAAAGGCAAAAATATGTTATAGACATGTAATGTGGAATATTGTGGTATATCGTAAATATTCTATAAACAGTCAGGTACTCTATAGCATTAATCGCCAATAAGAAAATATTATTATTGCTACATTGACACAGCGTATTGAGCAATCTATTGGACGGGGATAAAAAGAATAAATTTAAAAATCGAATATTCAGAAAAGAATAATTGTAAACGTTGATGAGAAGCCGTGTAATTGGCTGTTTTTCGAACGAAAGCAGTTCTAAAAACGTATCCAACGTTCTGCATTAACAATAATAACAACTCATAAACAAGGCAGAAATAACTAATATTTCGTTAAAAATATTTCCAACTGCAAATGCTCCTCAGATGTGTAATGAGATATTTAAATGTGTCATAAGATAAAATCTGAAATCTTCATTACATTATAAAAATTTTCTGATTTCAATTAAAGACTCCATCGCGAGAAATTAAGTGCGATCACGTGGACCCTGGAATGTTAAATACAGAAGCGAAATGAAGGCACTGGAAGTAAAAGAGAACATTCGGGCAACATTGGCTCGAGTTATCAAGAATCAGATGCAAAGATATTTGGACATGGAACCAGGGCAATCGCCTTTCGACCGCATCATTCGGTTCGATCGCGTACTTTTATATAGCCATTGCTTTCCTCTCGAATAAAGACATCCTTTACGTAAGTTCTTATCATATATACATGCGGGAAATAAATCTTGCAAGGATCCTCTAATCTATATTTATATATCTATGCATTAAGGAGAAAAGTTTAATTTACCGTCGTACAGATCATGTTATAAAGACGTTTACTAAAACTAGCATCTATATGTATAAATAGCTAGCTAAGAGCAGAAAATAACGAGAAATTGTACCGTCGTCTAATCGTGAAACGAAGGAAAGAACGTGACGATCAGCCATGTTCGAGGAGAACCAGCTCGATCGAATCGCTGTCGAGGGCATGCTCCCTCGAACCGGCCGTGTGGCGATTTAGCCGGCGCAGGCACGTATAGGTAGAGGGGTTCGAGAGGGTCCGACAGGGGCAACAACCAGGTAGAAGAGGAAGGGAGA